GTTTATATCTTAAGCTGTAAAGAATGCCATATTTTTTTAGGTATGAATAATTATTGTTAAACAATTTCAAAGCTTATTAAAAAGCTATATTTCATTATTGAAATAAACTACGCAAGCTCTTTACATAAATTCTAATTATGATAAAAAGTATAGAATAGAAATTTCATCCTTATAGGTTTATAAAGATAAACTTACCCCGTCCGGGTTGGGCACACCACTAATTGCCTTTTTTCTTCTAATTGATGTCTTAGGTCTAATTAGTATTTCCGATGCCCTCCTCCGATTTTTCTTATCAACTTCCATGTTGAAGTTGTACCCAAGTTTGTTTAATTCTTCCACTATGGTATCATACCAGTGCTCCGCTGTACTTTTATTGTTTAGGGTCAAATGATTTACGTTGAACCCGGTTTTAATACACAACGTATGATTGCTCGACGTCGAAATAGAAATCTCATCGCAATCACATAGATCTATTTTAAACGCTTCCTTTCCATCTTTAGTGTAATTGAACGAAATCGTTCCGTTGCTTAAAAGTGTTGCAGTGACATCATCTCTGTGCTAAAAAAAAAATGTACAGAAGTGAACAAACCAACAAATTAGAGATGTACATATACATACATACACACACACACGTATAAGTTTATGTGCTCAAATCTAAATTCAAATTTATTCAGTAAAACTTTAAGAAGATTAAGCGTACATATAAAAAATGCATACATTTTGAATGTTAGAGAAGAGAATCTGCGAATGTAAAAAAAGTTGCCCCAACCAGAAAAACCTAGGACATTCTGCTTTCTGTGAAGACACCTTAACCAACTGGGCTTTGTTGGAATTCAAATCCGATTAAAACAACTTAACTTCATTCCACTCTTGCGCATACGTAGTGGGCAGCACTAGTCATTGACGCATGGAAAATAACAGAGATTAATAATGATACGCCATCTTCTTATAAGCATTAGACGACAAGACAGGATCTCCTAAAGATATATCTTATGTTATATACGAATACTTACTTGCTTTTTATCCCACCGTCTAATAAGTTCGTTTTTTAGAAGTGCATTGTTTGTAAGTACAACGTTAACAGATTTACTCTCCATACTGCAAATGGAAATAACAATAGTAAACATAATAATTTAAAAAAAATATTTGCTATAAGTCGTTTGTCACTTAGCGAATTTATTCGGGCGAATCAAAAGCGTCGGTATATCAGCAGGCGCATTTACATTTCTCTCGGTGTTTTTCGCTTTAACGAAATCAGTAGTTCGAGCTCTTTTTACTTTTTGCGAAGCGAAAAAAAAATGCACAACCAATCAAAGCTCAGGAAGTGAACCAACGTTTTCAATTCGCGCGAATAAATTAGCCTAGTGTAAATCCGACTTATAAAGCTTGTTTTCTACTAGACGTATTTATTCGCGAGAATCGAGGCGTCGGTTCAGTTCCACTTTTTTCGCTTCGCAAAAAGTAGAAACAGTTCGAACTAATGATTTCGCTGAAGCGGAAACTCCGATGGAAATGTGAATGTGCATGCGCATGAACGACGCTTTCGACTCTCGCGAATAAATTCGCAAGTGAAAACAGGCTTAAGTACTAATGACGCGCGTTAAAGAATTCGCTGCTTTGAATTTTGAGTAAAAAATATGTGAAGTATAATTTTGCATTTTAAAAGATAAATTGTTTCTCAATTGTTTTTGCAATTAGAATAAAACAAAAAACAAACAGTAGCGAAGCCTTTAATTGAGAATGTTCGTGTAGTGGGCGGGTGAGCTTTTATAACTTTCGTTATTTTTTAAAAATATAGTTTTAATAATAAATTTTTTTATTGGGTTTTCAAATCCAATCAATTTGGAAGCCTTCATCGATGACCTCAGTCTGTCTTTGCCTGCCAGTGAGTGGATGCTGGCGTATCGTATAGTATGATCAATGCCTCACTGAAATCAATTTTAGATAAACATGCTCCAATCGCTAAGGTAACTCTAAAATCTAACAAACCATCCCAACTTTGGATTAATAATGATAATTTGGTGGCCCGCAGTGAGCGCCTGGATGAAAAACGATTCAGGAAGTCATGTCTTATTGTCCATCGCGATATTTATGCCTGTGAAGTTATTCGAGTCAACAAGCTTGTTATTTCTGCCAAGAGGGGTTATTTTTCATGGCAGAATAGCCTTGGCTGAAGCATCTTTTTTGTGTGTAAGTTTCACTAATAAGTTCATGGGATTATTCTGCTGCTGCTATTAATCCTCATTCCAATTGCATTTAAGAAAAAACAAATATTGAACTTTTAAGTTACTTGCTGTTGGATTCGAAGGAATAAGAAAAATAGATAATAATAATATATATAGGCCTATATATATTTAAGGTAAACTTGTTTACGCTATGGGAGAGGAATCTGTGATTGTGAAAAACAGTCAAAACAGTTGCAAAGGAAAATATATTATAATTATGTCAAATAATACTCATTACAGAAAGTGTCTAGCTGTATTCTGTCTGCAATTGTATCAAGAGGCTTCGAGATCTTTATATCTTTGTTCCTTTGTTCGAGCACGGTTTCTACCTATAATTATTATTTTAATACAATTTTAACCTGTTTACCTAACACTAACGCTCGAAGTGGTATCTGCTGGTATACGCTCTAACTCCCCGTAAGTGTACCAATGCGAGTCGTTTCAAGTTAAACTGCGCATCATTTTCGGGATTTATGGGCATCTAAAATAACCAGACTATAAGGTCATGATATCCTGGCGGCGCCAACAGGGATTATGAAAGCTCCCCGTCAATTCGAATAAACTTATCTTGATTGCCAATCTGTAATAATGTGATCTAAAAACACAATTTTTGTCTTCCTCGACCACGAAGTCTCTCCGCAAGGAAGATATGTATGATCTTTCACAAAAGTACCTTATAAACATCAACTATCGAAATACGCAGTACTGTACAATAATTATACAGTGCTACCAAGTGTAATCACTCCAGCAGTATAGCTAATACGACTAAAATAAAGAGTACCTTTGAATTTTATTTGATAGACCAATTGTGTCTGTGACAGAAGAATTGGACTATTTTCCTTCAATCCAAAACGCATCAAGTACAAATATAAGCCTATTATTTACATTTCTTTCACGAGAATACATTTATACCTGTATCCGTTTCATGGCACTCTTCACGGGGAAGTCGATTTATAAGTGAAATTACTGAACCAGATAAGCAAATACAAAACAGCTATATTGCGAGCGTCACTCTTCAAGTGGACATGTATTATGCAGATACTCAACACAAGGTACAGATAATCCACACCTTTTAATGTTCCTCAAGCTCCGCTACCGTACACACACCGAGGCTGCGACGCTGACCCAGGAGTTATGAAGTAAACGTTAATATTATATAAAATTGGCAAACGTTGTAGATGTTGTGAAATAGGATATGAAGTTACCACAACGTTGCAAATAAGATAGGAACCTAATAATTAGGTACGTATGGTTCTATAAAAATATTTTTAACACGAAACCGTAATGTAATCATAACGTTATTATAATGTCTAGACATTAGCAGGAAAACAAGGAAATAATGAAGATAGTTAATTGAAGAACTAACCTTCCTAAAGACTACACAGAGTAACCCGTAACCAAATACTCTTCACTCTTACCTGCCAACAAGCCTGAATGTTACTAAAGGGTTATGTAGTTTTAAGGTTCTTTATATAATAAAATGTAAATGTCATCCATCGGAAAATACAGTAATGATAATTATAGTACTCGAAAAAATGATAGGGGATTTCCTGTTGATAAAATCATCTATTGGAAAATACGATCGTGAAAATTAGTACTCTGACAAATGACACGTTTTTCCTGTTCATAATTATAGGTACAACTATTGGAACAAACTTTCCGAGTAATCATAATCATTAACCCATTCTTTATATGGCATGGCTAATTGTTTCGGTTGAAACCGATAACAATAACATCGACTTCAGTATGTCGCATTATTGGAAGTTCATTAAACATATCACAATCATAAATTAGTAATCTTATAGTTCCAACAGAAAATGTAACCGTTCTCTTATTCGCGTGTGTGTATCACCTTCTGAAATAGTTCATGTCAACGCCATAAGTAATGGATAATCCCGGGAATTTAGGGAACACATTATACAACTGACGTAACTGGTTTTTATTTAAATGGTTCAGAACATGCAAATTTCTATTCGCTTTAAACATTTTTTTCCAAAAGTGACCAGAGATGTGACATTTATCCTATGACCTTACTTTGCAAGATTTCCATATTTCCGTGCCTAGTGTTATTAGGGACTTTTTTCTCAAATTATTCAGGTATGTTTCTATTTCACATGGTAATAACAAGATATTTCACACTATAAACAATGGTTTAAAGTCGTTTAAACCCTTTTCCTAAAGTTTGGTCAAACAAGTAATTCTAAAATGGTGCATAATGGTTGTCCAAAGTGTACTACTTCTATACATCTTAATGTAGATTTTTTTTTTTCGGAAAACGCCCTTTTTAACTACCACCAACCAGCGAATACTCATAGAGATCTTGAAGTAGATCTTATTATGTTTCTGTCTACTTTACTGATGAGTAATATAGAATAATACATTCATAGTTTTTGAACTTTAGGATGTAAATGTTCTGTTTTCATTGTGAAACTACTCAAAACACTTAGGGTATTGAACAAAAACTGAAAAAATAGAGTATTTTACTGAATCAAGCACTACTTTTCTGATATTATATTCTTCTGGTCCATCAACTTCAGAATAGTCATGATTCTACATTTTGTCAGTGACATTAATTCCGTCACTGAGAAATATTGGCAAAGTTTACTGATGGCTAAGAACCCAACGACATACTCAAACTTCATAATGAGCCAACAGCAAGTATTCTGTCTGTTGAATACAAATGAATGTCTGAAAGAACTGTAACAACTTGCAAAAGAAATATCGATTGGAGAAAACCAAAAATAACAGCCTAAACAGAGTTCGACAGACTGCTAAGTGCAGAGAGCATCTAAAATATATACGACTGAAATTTAGCTAATTGGCCCCTATTATTTTTCTTATATTAAATGATATTTGTACGTCCTCCACATTATTTTCGTTCTTTATGCTGACGATGCTACACTCCTGTATTATAATAAAAGTATACACGCTCTTTTTGAAGTTACTAATCGTGAACAAACTAGAGTGTGTGATTATTTTTCGGCCAGTAAACTCACTCTTAATTTTAGGAAATGTTCACTTCTGTTTAGAAACCCCAACAAAAATTTTCTTTGGAATTTAGACGGATTAAGATTAATGATCATATTATCCCACTCGTCGAAAATACAAAATTCCTTGGCATTACCATTGATTCCGCTCTCAATTGGAAACTACATAACGAAGAAATTAAAAGTAAAATTGATATATTTTTTAGACTTTCTTCTTTTCTCCCTCTCGAAATTCTTCGCACATTATATTGTACACTTATCCTCCCCTAATTTGGTTTGGTGCAACACCTAAAAACCAAACACAGCTTAATCATTTACCAAACAGAAGCTGCTTGAATAATATAATACTGACCCCTTTATTTTCCTATTTAAACCTACTAAAATTAAAAGATATCAATAATTATCAACCGTGTATTTTTATATCCATTAGTTCGTAAAACCAACCTCAATTTTTCTAATTCTTTCCGACCAAACTCATCCTTCCACAGTTATAGTACTCGTAATGTAAACGATATGCATATTCTCCTCCAAAAAAAGAAACAAAACAAAAAAAAAAAACATCTTTTTAATATAATGTAAGATTAGTGGACCTAAACTTTGGAATAGCTTACCTGTATATGTAAAAGAACCTTTCTCCAAGAAAAGCTTCTCAGTTAAACTTTAACAAAATTTATATCTACATACTGGATTAAAATTCTATTGTATGATATGTAACTTGTACCCGTGTCAGACGACGTTTCATGTAATTGACTTTGTACCTTTTATTTCATTTTAAAATGCTTTTTATTTACTCATATATTTGTTTATTTATTTTTTTTGGTTATTTTGTCTAGGCATCCATACTACAAGCTTTTGCTTTTTTGGCTATGCCTTCTTCAATTCATTTACCTTACTCTGCATTGTACTGTATTTCAATTTGAAGAAATTGAATGTTGCTTTGAATGAAGGAATGAATCAATGAATTGGTACGATCAGTTGTTTTTCATCAACTTGAAAAGCCGATTAAGATCTTCCATTTGAATTGACTAGCACATTATGTTGCCTTGCATGAAATGTCATACTGTTGAAGGTTCCAGTAAAGTAGATGCCTCTTCTTTTGCTGTCACCCTACCACTCCGTTTAAACTCTTCGTCATCAGTCAGTCCTAGATAAGCAGTACTTTTTTTAGTAACATTGTGGTCTTGCGTGTCTGTGTTTGCCACATTGCAGCCATTTCGTTAATTTTATTTTTTGGATGTATATGTATGGTATTTGTTTATATATATATATATATATATATATATATATAATATATATATATGTATGTATGTATGTATACATGTATGTGTGCATGTGTATATGTATGTATATAATATATGTATAATATATATAATATATATATATATATGTATGTGCGTATATGTGTATGTATAAGTGTATATATGTATGTATATATATGCATGTATATATGTATGTATATATATATGTATATATATGTATGTATATATATGTATATATATATATGTATACATGTATATATATATATATATTATTATTATTGTCTTTATAGTTGTTATTTTACAATTATGCACTGAGACCAAATTCAAAGTCTCCCACGATATTTGGACAGACTATGCTATGGTAATCGGTTCCATTCTCCGACAATTCGAGGAAGGAAATATGACCTGCGGTAATTTGTACGATGGTTGGTTTCTGCATACCGGCAACTGTGAAATTTCCGGGTGGCTCTTTTGGGGGGTGATTTTTAGAATGGGAAGTAGTCAGTATTAATATAGCTCAAATCTCTGTGGAGCTTGTAGAACAATTGTAGGTGTTAATGTTTTATTCTACGTTCTTCTAAACCTCCTTATGACCCATCTAGCTGCTCGTCTTTAAACTTTCTCACGCAATAACATTATGGTGGCTATTCATAAAATCAGTGTACGCGTTATACGGTATGAGAAAATTGTATTTTAAAAACATTATTAAAGTATTCATGTCGGTTGTATTCCTTTAGTGATTTTGCTACAGTTTGATGGTAAAATAATTATAGACCTACCAATAAAATAATATAATATAATTAAAATTGTTGGAGTTTCCTGCCCGGCGTAGTCGCCTCTGGACCCCTTTGAGGGTTGTGGGATGCCAGTGACTGGCCCCACCTACTTCGCTCCATCGGGGGCCTGAAACATGGATCGAGTCAAATAATAATTCGCCTACAACATTCATGCCATTTCAACAATAATTTAATTCGGAAATCTCTGACAGTCTGTGAACGTGATTACGGTACAAATAGTTGTTCTCAATCCCCTGCCATGTACGGCTGGGTTGGTACAGCTCATCAAACTCTATCTAGCCTGCCGGGGTCGGGCTTCTATGCTTTTCCTGGTCCGTTTTGACCGGGTAACATTCGCACGTCTGACACGCCCTATCTCTTCTCACTGATTCCATAGGCTCTTGCCCCTCCCGCCACCTAAGTATAACCAATTCATTTAGGTTTCTACTATCACATATTAACATGTTTAACGTTAAATACGGCGGATTCAAATTACAATAAACGCAAAAATAGAATTAACTTACTATTGGCAATGCATATATCTCAGCCTGTCAATTTCTGTAAGAAAAGGCTATGGTCGTATATAAGTTTCATCGAAATTAGTGTTAGGTTTTGTTTTTGTTTTTGGTTAAGGAAATGAAAGTAACCATTGCCTATAATAGGCAATGGTTACTTTTATTTACTTAACGCAAAAAAAAATAACAAAAACAAAACAAAACAAAAAACCTAACGCTAAATTTCGATTAACCTTATTATACGACCATCCCTTTCTCATATACATAATATGCTAATTAAGTTTAGTGCATACGTGGCAATTCGTGTAAGCAGCATATACGTCGTTACGTTTACATAGAGGGCCTATGTATCATACCTTCACCTGCATCTATACGCTTCGGTGCATGTGTCTGTAACTTTACTTCATGCTTTAACAGTACAGTAATATAAATGAAATACATTTTCAACTGTGACAGGGCCCTGTGGCTTTCTGAGACTTGGGGCCGTTTTTGGGTTCCGGTCGCCAATTCCATTGAGGCATGTCTTCATAGTTAATCATGGTTTTGTCATTGTACTCTAAATGTTTTTAACGACGAAATAAATGACATGATATCAGTGACAGATCGAGCAATTTGAAATCGCATGGTGGGAGCAGAGAAGGACTTTACAAATTGAGAGTCTGTACCACCTCCAGAGGGATAACGACTAGTCATGCCAGAAATTTATGAGTTATGCGTAGACTTACCCCGGTATTCTTAAAACAAACTTTAGTCGTAGTTCGAGCTAAAACTTAAAAATTACGTCATTTCGTATTCTTAAAACGAACTTCGACTAGCACTACGACTAAATGACGCGAACCTCGACTAAAATGATACCTTCGCAGGCCGAATTTTTTAGTTAGCCTAGGGTCAGGCTAAATCGCCGACTTGAAATATTTACCCCACTTAAAACGTGTTTTTGTAACTCACGATAAAGTGAAACGAATAAAAACGATTGTATACGCAGGTTTGATATATCTTCGGTGTGTTAAACAAAAGAGACATCAAGTTTAGCTTCCAAAAGAAGAAATTAACATGTTTATAATAGTTCTCCAAAGAAAGCAAATTTTCAGTGGCTGTTCAAATTCTTTATCGTAATATGTTAACAAATTTTATTATAAAAAATAATTAAGCGAATGATGGTCTAATATGAATTATGAGGAAATACGTTTTTGAAACACGGCAGCTTACTTTTCATCCGCGTTACCGGATCTCTAAAATTAAAGTTAGCTCTTTTCATTGGTCAGTTTGGTAGTCGTGGCTTGCCAGTCGTCCTCAGTTGAACTAAAAATAGGACTTTATTTAGTCGTAGTTAAAACTTCGACTACATTGTTTGTGAATACAAATTGAAGTTGAAGTTTTAACTAACACTAAATTAAGTTCTAGTTCGAAGTTCGACTAAAATTTGTCTTAAGAACACGGGCGTTAGCCACAGTTAATTGACGAGCAAAAATGACATAATCTTTTTCAGCTGATAGCCGAACACATTGGATCGAACAATGAGTCTAATTTGGTGATTTTTTTTTAAATGTAATCTTCCATAATAATTATATTCCTACAACTCTCTAAAATTTCGTCTGCTATTAAAGTTAGCTCTTTTCATTGGTCAGTTTGATAGTCGTGGCTTGCCAGTCGTCCTCAGTTGAACTAAAACTAGGACTTGATTTGGTCGTAGTTAAAACTTCGACTACGTTGTTTGTGAATACAAATTGAAGTTGAAGTTTTAACTAACACTAAGTTAAGTTCTAGTTCGAAGTTCGACTAAAATTTGTCTTAAGAATACGGGCGTTAGCCACAGTTAATTGACGAGCAAAAATGACATAATCTTTTTCAGCTGATAGCCGAACACATTGGAACGAACAATGAGTCTAATTTGGTGATTTTTTTTTTTAATGTAATCTTCCATAATAATTATATTCCTACAACAATTAAACAGCCACGCCCACCCTGTACTCCGCCAATGCTACTGGTACTAGTAGAAGGGCTCCTTCAGAGTAGTATTTTTTAAATATCAACACAAATTTTTCGTTGGTTAATTTTCAAATAGAGGATGTGGAGGCCCAAGGCTCCTGAGGGCTCACAGGCGCTACGCTCCTGACCACCTCAAACACACCATAGTTAGGGCATACACTATATGTCCTACAGTTGATGTGAGATACATTTAATAGTCTTACAGCTGTCTCTTATACACATCTTAGGCAATGGTTACTTTTATTTACT